CACTGGGTTTGCTGGACTCACTAGCTTCTAGCACAGCAGCACTGCAAATATTCTTCCAGTCCTTCCTTGAAACTCCAACATACCTCTAAATGGCAGAACAGCAAGAACACTGCCAGTTCCTCTCTTGGCAGAAGACAGAGAATAAATAACTTCTTAGGAATGAAAGAGAAGTCATGAGAATGATTGTGAGGATGGACATTTCTAACCTTCTCCCCCCAAAAACCCCTAGAGTTTAGAAGATCTTTGGAGGTGATCTATTCAAATAAAGATAGGGGTTGTAGAACGTAACAACAGCATCCTTAACAAATGGCTATCTATGTGTCTATGGAGATTCTCAGTTATCCAGGTCATGGTTAGAAAGTCCATTTGCCTGTTGGAAGAAAAAAAGCACCTTTGGGACAAACGGCTAATTTATATAGCACATACCAATCTTTAGGCAGAGGATTCTATAACAATCTGCTCTTACAATCTGGAAATTTGATTTAAATATTAAGCTTAAAAACAGTTTCCCTGCTACTACCACCTTTACACTTTAGCTCCTGTTCTCTGAAGTGAGAGAAAAAGTCAGTACCATATTGGCCACCCCAATATGGCATGCTGCAGATATTTGGGGTTACAATTTGCATGCTGTTCTCCAAGCAGACCAACATATTTCTCGATGAGAACCCTTATTGTTCTCTTTGATGGGCAAAATTCATCCAGCAGTTTTAACAGCTCTTCAGAGACCTTGATTTCCAGACATCAGTTATCAACCTGGATGCCTTTGTCTAAGCATGCTACTAGTAGTAGTCAGCATCCCTCTTTAAAAAATTGCAGCTAGAACACAATATTCTCGCAACTCGACCTCTAATGGAATGAAATATTTTAACAAGAATGAAACAGAAATGTATGCATTTCACTGTATATTTGCTCAAACAAGTATATAAACCAAAACATATCACGTGAACCACTCCAAATTTTGCTCTGTGGTTCATCAGCAATAAAAAAATCAAATGCATTAACATAATGTTCAAATACATGTTACTATATTTTTAAATATTATTGTAAAAACAAGAACAATGTGCATGTATAGTAAAAAGTTTGGTAATATCTTTTAAGACTAAAAAAATCATTCTAATGAATTATAAGGACTTACAATAAAATCTGTCAGGCATAAAATCTCACAGAGCTGTTGTTCTGGGATAATAGAAGAAGTAAGGGGTATGTCATTGCCTTGAGTTATTTATAAAACTAATAAAGATGAAGTAAAAATAAAGCTACCAAATTCTCTTTATCTTTTGGCTACCGTAAACAAACATGGCTCTGTTCCTACAGTGTCCACCAGGTGGCAGCAAATTTCCCAAAATTGGTTATTCCAATGTTCAGTTCCACAAAAAGCCCTAGTCCAGTACTTTATGGTTAAGTTGGGCTGAGAGAGTGAATGCTTGGTCTCAATTTGAGTCACATTAAGATACAGTATGTGTCCTTAACTCCCAGAATTTTCCAGCCAGCATGCTGGCTGGGTTATTCTAATTGCTGATGCCCATACAGCTGTACAGGTTCAAAAACAGTAGTACTTGTTCAACTACTACTACTCCCTGTCAGAATAAATCTTATATTATGAGATGTTCAAAATAGTATATTTTCTGAATAAATCTGACCTCTCATTTCCATTTTGGACTAATTCAGTGTGAAAAGGCTGTTTTTAAAACTGATAGAATGAAACCGAGTTTATCTCATAGTACTTCTTGGTAATTTAGCTCACTCACTTAACCAGATTATTTCTTCCTGATGTTACTCCTACTTCTGAAGTTCACCACTAGATAAGAGCTGAGAATACTTTGCTTTTTTTCTGGAAAAATCTGTCTTAATCAACATAGATATTAGGCTATATAGAAAAAAAGGTATGAGCAGTTTTTGTTTGCTATTGTAAACTTCATGTGGAATTGCAAAGTGATTCCTTACTACGGTATGGATGCTATTTCTACATTCCCAGCCAGCAGCGTACCAACTGTGAAGCATGCTGGGTACTTAGTCCAACATCACATACTTTCACAAGACACTCCATGCTTACCACATACGTTCCATTCAAGGCAATGTTAAGGCAAAGAAGCAATAGCGTATTAAATGTGGTGCAGAGCATGTAATTAATTGTTATGTTTAAGAAAAAAAGCCAAAAAGCTGGTACAAGATGAGGATTTTCATTATGATGGTATGGCAATGGATGAAACTCAGGAAACTTTCCTTCCGATACTGAAGACTTGAGGAAAATTGCTTACTTTCAGAGTTATGCTTAATACCAAGAAAGGACCTACATCCATTTATACTGGAACAAGTGCTGTCTTAAATTTGGTAGTTCTTATACAAACAGCACTTTTGTCAGCCTTGCAAGTTTCAGTCAGTTCTAACAGGTTCTGGAGAACCAGTAGTGGAAATTTTGAGTAGTTCGGAGAACCAGTGAATACCACCTCTGGTTAGCCCCACCCCCATCTATTCGCTGCCTCCCGTCACAGCTGATCAGCTGGGTCTTATTTTGTTACCCTGCAGAGAACGGAGCTGGAAAGCAGGTTAGTGGGGTGGGGAGGGAATGGGGATTTTACAGTATCCTTCCCCTGCCATGCCCACCAAGCCACACCCAAGCCACACTACGCCCACCAAACCACCCAACGGAACTGGTAGTAAAAAAATTTGAATACCACCACTGCATTGCAAGGTGGACCAAACAGGAAATAAAGCCAGATGAGCTAATTCTACCTCATTGTAAGATAATTAACAGAATCTTGCAAGTCAGGAAATATACCTCTCCCCTTCCACCCCACTCCTTTACAGCCCAAGAACTTGGGAGGGTCTCTTCTGAGCCTCTTGTGCTGCCAGCACTCCTGCCCTGGGCTCAGCTGCCTTTTTTCTCACCATTCCCTTGGCTGCTGTCTCTTCCACCTATCATCCAGTGGGCATTCCTAAATACCATTACAAGTTTTTACGGTAAGACTCTTGCAGGAAAAGAAACCCCAGAACTTTAGTGAAGTGTGACCATCAATTTATCCTCTTACACAAAGTCTTGATATGTGCTTGTTTGGGAAAAATGAGATCCAGAATCTGGAAGCTTTAGGATCAGGATGGGTAAAATCAAGTTCAGATTAAGGTGGAGTTGGTAGTCATTGGTGATAATCTAGTAGTCATTCTGAAACAGATCATGGGTCTCCCTGGTAGAAATGATTCAAACCTACAAATCTTGGTTCCTACTCAAACAGCAAGTGGAAGATGAGGTCAGAGGGATCTTCACACAACTGAGGCTCTACACCAATTACCCCGATTTCCAACTGGACCACTATAACATGCTCTGTATGGGGCTTCTTTTGGAGATGACCTAGAAGCTACAGCTGGTACAAAATTCAGCAGCTAGACCATTGGCAGGACATACCCAGTAATATAGAATTATTTTATTAAAGTTGCTACATTGGTTCCAAGGTACTTTTCCAATCCCCCCCCCCCCCAAAAAAAAAAAAAAAAATTAAAGTCATTAACTTTAAAGCTACTGAGAGTTTGAATTTAAATGCATGGAAACATACTTTTTTTCAAATAAAAAAATTAAGCCTATGTAGCACACTTACCAAGAAATATACCTTGTAAGAACAAAATCTGTCTATTGCTGGGCCAAAGTGTCATTCACTTAATCAAAACACTTTGAAGATGCAATATAAATGTATTAAGCACGCAAACCACTATTGTGTACACTGAATTTCTAGCAAAGCATTGGCAGCTTGTTAAGCAGCCCTGTGGAAAAGCAGAACCACAGCTTAATATATCTTTGGCCTAGCCTACTAGATTTCAAAGATAAGGGAAAGGGAAAGGCAGACCCAGTGTAAATTATAGCACGATGTTGGAATGTTTTTCGACCAAGCCATCTGGATAGCCTTATTACTTATCACTTCCTAACTAGATCAGCGTGCTAGCTACAGGGCCAGTAAATATCAACAATTTAAATTAAAGGACCACTGAGTCGTGACTGATTTTTCCCTCTGGTGCTATTCAGGGTCAATTCAGCTTGCTGTAAATTATTTCTTACAAGGACAACTTCAGGGAGTTCACATGTAATGGGAAAGGGGGAGGAGCCTCCCATAGATTTGCAAGGGATTGTAGCTCATTTGTAAGCTGCCCATTTATCACCACTGTGCATTCCGGTCATTTAGTAAAAGCCTGTTGAGATCTCTTCAACAGAGGGAGAGGGATATGACATCATTTATCTCCAATCTACAACACAGTCCTTTCAACAGTTCCAAGGCAGCTCCACACCCATTTGCACTACTCAGGTGACCCTGAGGACACAGATAAACGTCCAGGTGACCTTAACAACACTCTAAAAGAATGTAAATGACCAGCTGTCTGCAAGGAGTATCAATCCTTCCATTCCCTACCATCCAGTCAGAACTGAAGAAGCTTCTTGGATGAAAAGTGAGATTTCTTCAAAGAAAAACCAGAAAGCCCAGTTGCCTCTTAGAAAAAGCACCTTTGGGATAAGCAAGGCAAGGTTGTCCCAAATGATGGGATGACTGAGAATCTCTACAAGGTTGTGTTACACCAGTAAGAAATCAGCTTTTAGTGGTTTTTGACTTATAACTTGCATCTTGTATGTGTAAGCTTGGTGAAACAGCTGTGTATTTTTTATTATATTGCCATATAGTGCACAGAGTCTTTCAGGACTGGGTGGAAAATAAATACATACGTATTGTATTAATATGGTGTATTCAAAATAAATTAAAAACAAATATATTTTCCTCTTAAGTAAAAAAGAATTGTTTGAAACAATGAGGATGTTCTTTATGCTCACTTGTTCTTTTAACTCTTTGCAAAAAGTGCTTTATGCTCAATAATTTTATTTTTATTTTTCAGGTATATTAGAAATTTAACACAGAATAACTGAAAACAAGTACCAAACAGGACATATAATTTTTCAGAATCTTTTGAAGGCAAAAAATAAAAACTTTTTTTTTTAGAAAAAAACACTTTAACATAATGTAAATAATTAACTTCTTTCATAAAGGTTTTTTTGTGAGAACAGGTAACTTATTAAATCTTAAATAAACTTTTTTTTCTGAAAAAAAAGGCCAAATAAAGGCATTAACAACACAAGGTCTTCCAGCATGAATTTAAGCATATAACAACACCAACTTATGCAACTGGTATAGAGAGGAATTTCTCCTGCTTACAGCTGGCTGATCAGATGGATCAATAACAAGTGATGATCTCAGCTAAAAGGGGGAAATTAAGAAAGTTAGTAATAAATCACATTTTTTATGTAAATAAAGTAAGAAAACTGAGCAACTTCAAATTTTCCTCAATACATTTACAAATCCTTTTCCTCTAAAGTTCAATAGTGCAGGTATTCCTCAACTTGCGACAATTGAGCACATTTCTGTTGCTAAATGAGCCATTCATTAAGTGAATTTTTCCCCATTTTACAACATTTCCTGTCACAGTTGTTAAGTGAATCACTACAGTTGTTAAATTAGTGACATGGTTGTTAAGTGAATCTGGCTTCTCCAATGACTTTGCTTGTGAGAAAGTCGCAAGAGGTGATCACATGACCCCGGGACATTACAATTGTCATAAATATGACTCAGTTGCCAAATATCTGAATTATGATCCTATCAGTGGTGGTATTCTCCCGGTTTGGCCCGGTTCTGCCGAGACGGTAGCTGCGATGAGCAGCGGAGACCAAACTGGTCCTCTCCGCCGCTCTGCTGTTGGGCCCACCCGCCCCCACCTGGGCTCCCACACTCACCATTATCCTCTGAATTTGAAGCGCAGCTGCTTTGCGCAGCACAGCACAAGCGACCAGGAGAGTGCAGGCTTGCAGGAGGTGAGTTAGAATGCCTCTGTACCTGCGCAAACGCCTCTGGGCCTGGGCAAAGTGTGTGTTTGGCACGTGCACGCAAAGTGTGTGCACACGCACAAAACGCGCCCCCACCAAGCCACGCCCACCGAACCAGTGGTAAAAATATTTGAATCCCACCACTGGATCATATGTGGGAAAAGCTGCAACGGTCATAAGCTTGAACAACCATAAATCACTTTTTTCAATGCAATTGTCATTTTGAACCATCATTAAATGAACTGCTGTAAGTCAAGGACTACCGGTACACAATATTTCTATAGTCATAAGCAGTTCTAATCATCAAATCCCAAAATTAAAATTTCATTTCTTTCGGTTTCAAGCAAAAGTTCAAAAGTTGTCTTCATGTACAGTTATTTTTTTTTTCATTTTCCTTTTTTTCTTTTATATATTTTAAAACAGACAGATAGATACAACTTTTTTTATTTTTATACCATCATCTTTGTCGTTCAAACTCAAAACAGGTTTTGTTTATATATTAAAACAAGATTAAAAACTGGGGACAAAAACCTACCTGGGTCCATTCGTATGACTTCTTATACCATGTGGGAGGAACAGCTTCACGGGGTTTCGATTTGCAAATTAAGCTGAATGAGAATTGCAAAAAAAAAAAAAAAAAATCCATATGAATACTATCCCCTCAATGGAGAACAGATTAATAGGGAAATAATAACACTTCAAATGCTGAAAGGATGTCACCAAAAAAAGTCAAGATTTGTTCAGTCTCATTCCAGAATGCAGAACACAGCTTATACAAGTACATTACACCGGAAGGAGGGCCAATTCTGATTTGTTTTTGGTTTTTTGATTTATTTAACAGTGAATGAAGTTTAACAGCGGAAGTAATTATTCAGAGAGTGATGCTAGCCTTCTCTTCACTAGATAACAGATAATCAAGAGTTGGAAGGGACCTTGTAGGTCATCTAGTCCAACCCCCCCGCCCAAGCGGGAGACTCTACACCATTTCTGACAAATGGCAGTCCAATCTCTTCTTGAAAGTCTCAAGTGATGGCACTCCCACAACTTCCGAGGGAAAACTGTTCCATTGGTTGATTGTTCTCACTGTCAGAAAGTTTCTCCTTATTTCCAGGTTAAATTGCTCTTTGTTCAGTTTCCATCCATTATTCCTTGTCTGTCCTATAGGTGCTTTACAAAATAGCTTACCCCCCTCCTCTCTGTGGCAGCCCCTCAAATATTGGAAGACTGCTATCATGTCTCCCCTGGTCCTTCTCTTCTCTTGACTAGCCATGCCCAGTTGTGCTAGACTAGCCATGCCCAGTTATGCCCAGATGTGCTCAAGCAATCTAATTAATTAGTTTTGGGCACCTGGAATTGGATTTCAAAACCTAAAATGCAATTTCCAACTCTTTAAGGTTTTATAATTCTGTATTTTTTTTTACCATAAAGCTAAAAAATAAAAAAAAGTAGGCAGTTCTCGACTTGCAACAGTTTGCTTAATGACTGTTCGAAGTTACAGCACTGAAAAAAAGTGACTAATGCCCATTTTTCACACTTATTGCAGCATCCCCATGGTCACGTGTTTTACCTTCAGGTGCTTCACAACTGACTCAAATTTATGACGGTTGCAATGTCCTGGGGTCATGTGATCCCCTTTTGTGACTTTCTGACAAGCCAAGTCTGGGGAAACCAGATTCGCTTAACAACTGTGTTACTAATTTAACAACTGCAGCGATTCACTTAACAACATGGCAAGAACAGTCATGATATGGGACAAAATTCACTTAACACATTTCTCACTTAGCAACATAAATTTTGGGCTCAATTATGGTCATACATTGAACACTGCCTGTAAAGGGTAAATGCAAGACACATCATATGCTTGGAGCAGGGATCTATGGTTCAGAACAATTGAGATTCCTTTCCTCTGCATCAGCCTTTTTTATTGGATGGTCTCCATATGTTTTGGTTCTGCAACTCTCAGAACGCCTAAATATTTCAGAAGCTATTTATAAGAAGGGGGGAAGGTTGAAAGTTATGAAAAGGAGGGAAATGGTCTTTAACAAAATCCAGAAGCTCCCCCTCTAAATCTATACAAGGTAGTCAAATCATCCCACAATCTAAGATTAATAAGTAGCTAGGGCAAAGGGTCCCTAATACAATTCTAAATTGCATTAACAGAGGGATACAATCGAGATCAAGTGAGGTACTAATACCACTCTATAAAGCCTTAGTAAGACCACACCTAGAGTACTGCATCCAGTTTTGATCATGACACTATAAAAAAGATGTTGAGTACTAAGAGCAACCAGGATGATTAGGGGACTGGAGACAAACATATGAAAAACATTTACAGGAACTGGGCATGGCTAGTCTAGTGAAGAGAAGGACCAGGGGAGACATAATAGCAGTCTTCCAATATTTGAGGGGCTGCCACAGAGAGGAAGTGGTCAAGCTATTTTCCAAGGCACCCAAAAGCCAGACAAGGAATAATGGATGGAAACTGAACAAGGAGAGATTTAATCTGGAAATAAGGAGAAACTTTCTGACAGTGAGAACAATCAACCAATGGAACAGCTTGCCCTCGGAAGTTGTGGGCGCGCCATCACTTGAGACTTTTAAGAAGAGATTGGACGCCATCTGTCGGAAGTGGTGTAAAGTCTCCGGTTTGGGCAGGGGGGGTTGGACTAGAGGACCTACAAGGTCCCTTCCAACTCTGATTATCTGTTATCTGTTATCCCAACCTTTCTGGCTCCATGGACTGGCAGCCCCCAGGGGGCAGAGGGTTTTGCATGCACATGGCCGCCATTTGCACAAATGAAGCTTTGCATGCTCACACACCGCTTCCGTGGCCCGGTTCCCAATGGGCTGCAGACTGGGAGCAGTCCGCAGACCAGGAGTTGGAGACCCCTGAGCTAGAATGATAGCTTGCTGTCCTTGCTTCCCTATCCTAGCAGCTCAGATACCAACTGGAAGAATTTATTAAGTATGTTCTGATGATACAGACATTTTTAAAAATATAATTTTAGTCACAGTGTTTAAACTTTGCACTAGCCCGGTATATACATATAATTATGTGCCATCAAGTCAGGATTGATTCTTAGTGATCACATAGATTTTTTTCCATGATAAATATGTATGGATTTGTGGAAAGGGAACTTCACGAGGACAGTGGTGACACCTAAGCAGGAAAAGCCCGAGGGGAACATCAGGCCAGCCATAAAACAAACTTGCATAGGAAAAGGAATCAAATAAAAGAAGCCCCTTAGACAAAAGCCCAAATAATTAAGAAAACTAAGGAAACAAGAAAAGAAAACCCTTACAAACACAAGACATGCCAAATCAGCTAAACAAACAGACAAAAGACACAAAATATATTGCAAAGGACACAGACAGGAGATTGCCACAAGAAAACATTAGGAAACTGATAATCCAATCAAACCACCCTGCAAAGTTTGCCTTCTGCACCCCACAGAGTTTACCCTCCGGCGGAAATGAAGACAACCCCTGACAGGATTTAAAACATTAAGAAATACAAACACAAGCACACACACACAAAATGAGAAAAAGGTATATAAATCAGGGGGCTTATCATACAAAGCTAGCTAGCCCAGGAACGCAGACTTCTTGCTATCTCTTGCCTTCCTGAAAAATAAAAAGACTCAGCTTTCAAGCAGTTGTCTGAATCCTTGCACTGGAGTTCTCCCAGCAGGAAAATAGAACCCTCAGAAGAAAGGCATTTTTAAAGCCTTTCAACAGATGTATCTATATATATACTATATTTATGTGCCTCTGTCTATCTATTTACTTATCCATCCACAGAAAAAAAAAGCTATGTTAGCTATTTTTAGTGTCTTGTTGTGTACAGAAACTTGATTGCTACAGATTCATTCTCTGCCAACTCCTCCCTCTCTAAACTGTGCAAAGTAAAGCAGTATTTGTATTCTAATTCATTCTGTCTAGACGCGTTTTTCAAATACATAACTTCCTCTTAAATAGTGAAGACACATAACACATACAATTAACTTAAAATGTAGATATATGAATTGCCGATGATTTTGAAGCTATCCCCCTCTTCATTTTTAATGCACTTTAGGATCCAGGCACATTATTAATTTTATCTAATTCTGTATTTTTTTAAAAAAACTGCAGAGCAGGTAAACGGGGAAGGAAAGTAAGCCATCCATTCAATTTCTCCTTGAATGACAATTTTATCATTATTCCTATAGCTTGAATTTCAGAATTGCAAAGGTAAGGGAAAAAAATCATTTTTCTTGCATGCTGTTATTGCTTGTATCTCTATATATAAAAGCGAAATACCAGTCATGCATCATCACAAAATCTCCAGAACTGTAAAGCCTACAAACTTGAAATTTGGCACATATGTTCCTCTTGGCTTCTAGGTGCTCACTAAGAAAGGATTTTTCGAAATGACCATCAAAGCATTAGTATTTCATATATTATTATTAACATGCTCTGATGCTAAGGAGTTCTAATCCCCCTCCCCACCTGAAAAGAAATGTTTCAGATGCAAAACACAAGGAGTTTCAGTTTCACAGCAGCTACAGAACAGTTGAGCTAAGTCACACCCAGGCTCCTTGCTTTCTCCTTCTTACTCACACAGCAAATATTGTTTCAGTTTCCAAACAGCCCTTAACTCTTTCACACACCGACAGGATGCTAGCCAGGTGAATACCAATGGATGCTGGTAGGTAGAGGCACAATTCCCCCCCCCCTTATTTTTCTCCCCAAAAACTAAGCCCGATCACATAGTTTTGTAGAGAAGCACGGGTATAGAGCTAGTTTTTCATACACAGGAATCCAATAAAATGTGTGCTTTTACTTGAACACAGAGATTGTGTGGGGAACAGGCAACAACATTTACACTCTTCATATCATAAACCTTGAAATTATTCTCTTTCAATGCCTTCGTATTTTGGGGGGATTTGCACTTCTGATTTGTGATTTTTTAAGGCATTAGAAAACACGTGCAACCTACATTACAGCTAACTGTAACTTCATATAAACCAAGTAAAACCCAAACGAACGTTATATCCAGATGTGAACCTTCACTTCTATCTTTATTGTTTGTGGCACTGTGATGTACAGTCCACACAACTTGTTTGTATTTTGAGTTTATTTTTAAAAATTTGCATCCCAGTGGATAGACAATGACAGAATATGCTTCTTTGACCCACCTCAGCCTCTTTCCCCTCCCACAACACATAATTATAAGCACAGCTCTTTTACAGAGTGGCATGCACTTAATCTCTTCTGCTCTATTTCTCCATCCATCCATTTCTAAATTCCAGTACTTCCAACAACTACAACTGTATATTTGTTCTTTTGAAATTCAAGTCTAGAAAACTAACCCTTTCCCCACAAATAACACACTAAGAAGTTGGCTGTTTCCCTTCTATCCTCAAAATTTTCAAAATAGGGCTTTTTAAGCCGTATCATTGGAGATTTCCACTACCAATTTAGGCTTTCAAAATTAAATTAAATCAATTCAGTCCACTTATAGGTAAGAGTTAGGAGAAATAAATCACTGATTGATACTAAAAATGACAAGATCATCTGGATGATCAATAAAATTGCTGTCGAGAACTAGGCATACAGCATACGAAAAGGTCCACTTGGGCCTGTTTTATATTGTAGGTGGTTGTAATTAGATCTTTCCACATGTTTTGATGAAAAATATAGCTACAGGTTTTAAAAATGCATTGATGAGACTACACCCTACAATTTTACAGGTTTAAATTGGCATCTTTATTGAGATAACATATAAAGAAAGAGGGGAAAAAATAACTGCTTTCATTCCTTCCATTTCTGGCTTCTTTATTTGTCTGATACATACCCTACTTTTCACTCAGGAGTTTAAGACAGCAGAGGTAGATAGCAATTCCTTAGACAAAAGGTGAAGGTGATTGGGGGGAAAGGAGGGGGAAGGGAAGCTATTAACCAGCCTTCCTCTAGGCTTGATTTAGATGACAGATTCTGGCTTCCAGTTGGAAGGACTCAAGTAAATGTCCTTCCTACTGTAATTACTGAAATGCCCCTCCAGGGTCATCTGCAGCAAGCCAAGATTTTGCTAAAATGACAAAGCATGTGTCGCAACATCACAATGCAAGCTGTACTCCTTATGCATTTCCATGTGACATCTGAGGCACAAAAGGGGCAGAGTTTGCATCATGATGTCAGAACTCATTTCATCATTTATCTCTCCTGTGAATGCCCAGAGCTTCTTCCCATACAATTTACTACATGAAACGTGGAGCTGGGGTATTTTGGCTCAAGGCTAATATGGGGGGAAAAACAGCTATATTTCCAAGGAGCCTTTCTCTTTAGACATTATACTAAGATGCAACCTTGTGCATTTTCCTCTGGGTTTAGAGGATGCCCAATTATAACACACACACAGGCTTTTATAATTATAGCACATTAGACTAACGAACAGCCACATTTGCTTGTCCACACAATGCAATTATGAAGAATAGAAACAAACTTAAAATATTGAAGAGGTAAAGGAAAAATAGAGTTTACCTTAAAAGCTTTTCGCGAGCTGTATTCTGCAATTGGGCAATTTTCTCAGGACCAAAATGCAGCAGGCCGTTTGGTTCATCAGAGGCTAATTTGTTAATATATGTCCTCAGAATGTTTATCTATAAAGATAGTGATTTTTTAAATAAGAACAGTGACAGTTGGCAATTATGTTTTAAAAACTGTTTATCTATGAAGATGGTGATTTTTTTTTAAAACAAGAACAGTAACAGTTGGCAATTATGTTTTAAAAAATAAAATGAATTAAACCTTTTGGCTTCCAACAAAAAGCATTTACTTGATTATATTTATAAGACTTTTAAATTCAAGTTTCAGTCTATTAAAATTTGGGATTTCCAGATTTTCTAGCCAACATCCAGCCATTAAATCAATGGTCGGACTGGAGAAGAATCATAGAAGCTGAACTCCAAGTCATTTGGAATATCCCCGATTCCTCTTAAGAGCAAGACCATACAATTTAATCAACTCATGTTACCGGCCTTATAAAGAAAAAGCACATGAGCCTGGTACAGACAGAATATTTAATTAAGATTTTTAAAGCCATCACTGTTGAACAAGTTAATGTGGCCTATTTGTGCTATTTTTTTCTTTCCATTCAACCATATCCGATTCTCAGGGACTGTCTGGAGAAATCCTGCCATTTTCTTAGTAAGGTTTTTCAGAAGTGGTTTGCTAGGACTGAGAGAAAGGTCACCCAGCTGATTTTGTGCCTGAGGTTGGACATTATACTAAGCCAAAACCTTAACACACCATACTACAGATTCAGCGACTGTCTAAATGTTTTGACGTTTTGCATGTAGTAAAGGCCTCCACCATTCAGTAAACTTTGAATAATGGACAAAGTCTTTTGTTTCTGTGGCTGAATAATGTGCCAATTTTAAAATTTAAATTTACATCATAATTCACAAATTATTTAAACTAATGCAAATAAATGTTCAGTAGTTAAGGCATCAGGCTAGAAAGCAGAGGACAATGAGTTCAAGTGCCGCCTTATAGCTATGAAAGCCAGCTGGGTGACCTCTGAGCCCAATCCGCCTCACAGAGTTGTTGTTGTGGAGAAACCTATGGTCACAAGCCACAGTCATCCCCATCTTCAAAAAGGGAGACCCAAGCCTAGTTGAAAATTACAGGCCAATCTCCTTATGCTGCGTCACCTGTAAAGTCATGGAATCAATTATTAACCAATCCATCATCCTCCACTTAGAGACAAATAACCTACTCTCCAATAAACAATTTGGTTTCAGAAAAAAACTATCCTGTAATCTGCAACTCTTACACTGCAAAAACATATGGACGACACAACTCGACCAGGGCAAAGCAATAGACGCAATCTACATAGACTTCTGTAAAGCCTTTGATTCAGTGGTACACGACAAACTACTCCTAAAAATAAAATCCTATGGTATCTCTGGACAACTGAATAACTGGATAGAAGCATTCCTGTCAAACAGACAACAAATGGTCAAAATCGGGAGCGTCCTATCAAATCCAGTACCTGTCAATAGTGGTGTTCCCCAAGGCAGTGTTCTAGGACCAACTCTCTTCATACTCTACATAAACGACCTCTGTGATCATATTAAGAGCAATTGCGTTCTCTTCGCTGATGATGTAAAGCTGTTCAATACCACAGACAATACTGCTACCCTACAAAAAGATCTTGACTATGTATCTGAATGGTCAAACAAATGGCAACTTCAAATCTCAACAAATAAATGCTCTGTCTTACATATTGGCAAAAAAAATCAGAAAATAAAATACAAGCTGAATAGTCAAGATCTTGTTGATGACCCAAGCTCTGTAAAGGACCTTGGAATACTCACCTCTAATGATCTAAGTGCTAGAGCCCACTGCAACTACATAGCCAAAAAGGCATTAAGAGTTGTTAACCTAATCCTACGTAGCTTTTTCTCTGGTAATATCACACTACTAACCAGAGCATACAAAACATTTGCTAGACCAATACTCGAATACAGTTCATCAGTCTGGAACCCACATTACGTATCTGATATTAGCACAATTGAGAAAGTCCAGAAATATTTCACAAGAAGAGTTCTCCACTCCTCTACTCGTTGTAGAATACCTTATGCCACCAGACTTGAAATTCTAGAACTAGAAAACCTTGAATTACGCCGTCTTCGGTCTGACTTAAGCATGGTATATAAAATCATACATTGCAATGTCCTACCTGTCAATGAATACTTCAGCTTCAACCATAACAACACAAGAGCACACAATAGATACAAACTCAAAGTAAACCGCACCAAACTTGATTGCAGGAAATACGACTTCAGCAATAGAGTGGTCAATGTCTGGAATACTCTACCCGACTCTGTAGTTTCTTCCCCAAACCCCAAAAACTTTAACCTTAGAGTGTCTACTATTGACCTCACCCCTTTCCTAAGAGGCCTGTAGGGGGCGTGCATAAGCGCACCAACGTGCCTACCGTCCCTGTCCTATTGTTTCTCTTATTCTTTTATTTTTCTTATATGTACCCATTTCATGTATTCACAACTATGTATACATTTATACTTATTATCTTGTAAACAATTGGCAAATCAAATAAATAAATAAATAAATAAATAAAAAATAAATAAAAAATAGGAGGAGGAAGGTGTGTTGGATATGTGTGCTACCTTGAGTTATTTATAAAAATAATAAATAATAAATAAAATACATAGTAACACAAATTATCTTACTTTCAACAATTTGCAATATATTAACAATTTACCTTCACAAATGGTCCATTAAACTGCAAATAACCATAATCCCTAGGATTATGTGAGCTATAGTTCGAATGTATTTTAGGCATTTCACATTGATGGTTAAATTACAAAACATTCCCAAAATAATAAAGTATGATTTCCAAATGCCCAATTATTTCCACTAATAGAAATTTTCACTTTCGCAACTGCAGACACAAGACCTAGTTTTCTGCATTTCTGATGATCCAAATTAAACTTGGCTTTTTTTGCCCACCAATATTAACAGTATGTCAATCAAATGAAACTACTCTTAATTGGTATTTTTAATGGTTCTCTATTAAAAAGGTCTTTAGAAATTTGTAATCTGCAAGTAGCCTAGGACAATGCTCAAGAATATGCCCACATTCCTGTTTACATAAAGGCAGGCATCAATTAGATGCAGGCAATCTGCCAAGGAAGCTGTTAAAACATTTGAAAGGCAAACTGTTACTTCCTCTTCAGTCAATGAATGTTAATGTTTTAAAATGTAGCATTTTATAAGCTAGCGCATACATGGGGAAAACTGAACAATCAATCAGTTTTAAACAGATTTAAATGCATAGTGTGGACATCCCCATACAGTTAAGTTTGAGCTGCTTTCCCAATTCAAACTCAAGAAAAAGCAGCTTGAAAGCCCAGAATTAGCATCCAGCCCTCTCTACTAAGGCCCTGGTAATCTCAGTGAGTAATGTCAAATGTTTAAAACTTTTTTAAAATATGTTAAAATTTAGAGCAAATTTAAGAATCCAAACAGGTATCTTAAGACTAGCAGAACTTTGATATATCAGCCATTTTTTCCCCAAAGAGGCAGGCTGAAATTAGGGACAATTCTGCCTCTTAAGTTCCACATGTCCCCAAAATAGAGGAGAAAAAAACGGAAATTATTTCAGCCTTACCCATTTAAATAACATCACAATTTTATTAGTGAATTCCCTTATCATATTACCAAATACATTTCTTTTGCTTTCTCCATGAGTAGCATAGACATTCAGAAAGTTTTCCTTCTCCCATGTCACCATTGTTTTTACTAGCCTTTTTAAATAAAAAATAAATAAACCTAAATAAAACTTATTACAAACTCCTAACTTTTAGGCGCCGTGAATAATAAATCTGAAATGGATTAGCTTCACCTGATTCCCTCAGAATAGAGGCTCATTCATAAAACTTAAACTGTTTATAGTTTCTGTAACTCCAACAAAATCTATGAGTTACTTTGGTGAGTCGCTATAGATTTTCAGCCTTAGTACACCCCTGTTCTCTTACCATCATTGTTTTGCAAAGCAATTTATGTGTAAAATGAATACACAATAAAATGGCAAATTATTGCAGAGAAATAAAAACATGCTATCTTCGTTCACGCATTGAATTCGAACACTGGTGGCTTTGTACGTTGCCTATTGTTCCATTTTTATTTGTAAGGAAATGGTAACACACTATTGGAAGTCGTACCCCATTCTGTTACCTTATTCTGCTGCAGTTCTAAGATTTAGAATATAGCTACATAATACTATGTTTACAATTGAACAAGCAAAATTATCTATAGGTTACAACCAGGCAATCTTGTTTCACAGAAACCAGAGTGTTTGTTAATTTTGAAAAAGCCAGATTCATTCCAAGAAACCTAAGGGAGTAGGTTAAAATGTGACATTCCAATGGCCTACTGTCATAATATCTGAAAAGCCGGAGCACATTTTACCTGTGTTATGTCATCTGCATCAATCATCACATCAAATGCAAGTTCCATATCATGATCTTGGAGGACTGGGCTGCGCAGAGACTGGTTCCAGCCCAAACCACATAGGACACCAGTGTATCTCTTTCTGCTTTCATCAACCCTCAAGTAACAAGATTATTAATAGTAAATGTAAGAAAATACAGCACCTATGCCTGATACATAATGTCATAACAATCCTGTATAGACATGAGTTTGCATCCTTACATCATTTCCATAAGAGAACTATTTTCATTTGCGGAAAGCTTTTTTTTAATTGGTTCCAGTTAAAATGATGGATGAATAGAGACCTTCATTATCCCATCACCAAGTTCATAGCCCCCCACTGTCCCTCCCCCTTCTCCAATGAAGCACATTTCCAGGGGCTCAAATGAAGCAGGTTTCCAGGAGTTGCAAAGAAAAATGGGAGAAAATGGGAGAAAAAACATGATCACCAAGTTCCTCCTTGGAAATGTTCGCATACCTGAGATCTATCACAGGAGCAAAGAGCATGCTCAGTAATGCTGGGAGACCAGGGATATGAGGCATGAGAGAAGTTTCCTTTAGCATCATTGTTGAGCCTATCACCATAAAAAGCAAATTAACATGACCTTTCAAAACAAAAAAGTCATACAGATAGTTATAGCTTTGATTAGAAATATAGTGTAGGCAGGAAAGATTATACATGCTATAAACCAGGGGTGTCCAACCTTGACAACTTTAAGACTTGCAATTTTTAAGATCTGTAGACTTCAACTCCCAGAATTCCTCAGTCATCATAAATACTTCGACAAAGCATTTTTTTTTTACCTGTTGCGTTTACAGATATGGAAGCAGAAACCAGTATTTGTTGAAATGCATTTTCAGGACCATCAACTAAAACCACAGAGTTTACGCTCTCCTTCTCTACCAAGATTGTTCTAAAGGACGGGAAAAGATTCAACATGATTTATTATGAGAATTTTTAAAAGTCCAATATTGCAACATTTCGTTGATGGAGTCAGTTTACTGAAAATTTTCCAAATGTTTAAAAATAAATAACGCTATAACTATTTAAAAACGCTCTATGTACAACTATTACACAAACCATAATAAGCACAGAATATTCTAGAAATATCTCACAACCACCTCCCTCATAGAGAGCAGAAAATAAATACAAAGGAGAAGTGCTTCCAGATTGGAGAATTCACAGAACTGCTGGGGTGGAGGGTGGATGTGTAGGTTTTCTATCTCTATTTCCTTATTGGTTAACAAAAGAGGAAAGGTTAGAAAAATGGGAATGGTGAAATGAATTGAAGATGCTGTTATCTGCAGCCTGCCTAACCTTCATAAAATGTTATGAATGGACAGAGTAATAATAAGCACAAAAAAGTTTGTGCTCCTTTCAGCCTTAGTTCTTAATCAAACATCTGGACAAAAGGTCCATCTGAAGCGGTGTTCTGTATTCTGCAGTGGTCCACCAGATATTTTAGAGATGCCTAAAAGCAAAACATGAAGTTTATAATCTTACATAGTTGACCCCAAAGCACTGTAGAACTGTATCTTACCTGAATCTGGAAATTCTGGTCATACTGCTGAATTTTAGGCTGCAGACATTGAAGGGGCCAAGTAGTGTGACCTTTTCAAAAGAGAGAGAGAGACAAAATGGGATTAGGAAGACATCTGCAACATTTCAGTTTGTTAGTTTGTTCAGTTTCTTTATTACATTAAGTGAAATTCCATGTTTCATTTTTGTGTCTTGGTTTCCGAGATAACATATACACCTCAAAACAGAAAGCCTCTTCTGAGGCTCCAAAACAGCTTGTACTAGCTTTGTAAGCTGGGCTTTACAGGATTAGCATGCAGCCCAAAGGGAGGCAGAAAGCTCTTGATTTAAACAAAATATAAATAATATAATGCTTGGTCATTCTTTGCAGATACAAAAATCTTGCACACATATATCTTCTCTTTAGTCATTGCCAAAAACAGATTGTTTAAATAACATGTGAAACCTAAACTGCAACTAATCTTAATCAGAGTATTTTGAAACAAATCTCTCTTAATTCAAAATGTAAAATTGGTTGTTGCAACGAACTGTAAGATTAAACAGGGAGGGAGGGAGGG